TTTCCGCATTTGGATTTCTTGTCCCATTTAAGATTTTGCCACATTCTGGGCATTGAGAAGCCAGTGCCATGGTTTCCTGAGCCCTGAGCCTGCAGTAGGAGATGTGACCACAATTAGGGTGTCTTTTCAAGCTAAGAGACCCGGCTTGTCCTCGGCCAGGAGGCGTCTGGGAGCAGGGGTCCCAGGGTGAGTTGGGGACCCCCGATCCGGGCTGCACAAACTTGCTGCAGTGACCTGGGGCTCTCGGGCGTTATGTCCACTGCAGGGCTGTGAAGTTTCAGTAATGAGGATGTTTCTCCCAAGTGTGGGATGAGTGGCCTTAAGCTCTGCTCCATCTGTGCCAACTTCCCCAGCTCTGCCTCAGGCGGCTGCTCCTCCCGAGGGCTCACTCTCCACAACATCGGCCTGTGGTTTATCAGCAGACAGACCTCCGTCCTTCCCCGCAGCCCTGGCAGCACCATGTGGGTGCCCGGTGCCCTACCAACCCGCAGCCAGAGGTGTGTGCAGAGGGTGCTCCCTGCACAGGCGAGGCAGGGGGCAGGGGATGCACTGGAGGCTGCTCTAAGGAGCCCTGGGAAGGGTCGCACTCCCCACATGCAAACTTTCTCCTGCAAGTCCACAGAATTCCCGGCGAAACCATCAGCTCGTGGGCCGATCACCTCCTGCCCTGACCGTGCTCCACCTGCCCCTCCTGGAGGTGTGGCTTCTGCCCTCGGGGTCCCCAGGGGATGGTGGCAATGCTGCCTGGCTGCCTCTTGGGGGAATGAGCCCAACTTTCTCCCAGAGGCTTCCTCTGCTCACTTCTCTAAGATTCACAACTCTAAGCCAGTTCTCTCTCCACCAAATTATTAAACCCTAGGAAAGGAAGTATCTTATGCAGTGACCAATATCCCAACAACTGGAAGATAAAACTCCTGACCCTGGTATATTAGTTCATTTTCACCCGCTGGTAAAGATGTACCTGAGACTGGGCAATTTATAAGAAACAGAGCTTTGATGGACTCACAGTTCGGTGTGGCTGAGGGGGCCTCACAATCATGGCAGCAGGTAGAAGAGAGAATGAGAGTCAAGCGAAAGGGGAAACCCCCTATCAAACCATCAGACCTCGTGAGACCCATTCGTGTCCACAAGAACAGTCTGGGGGAGCCGCCCCCATCATTCAGTTCCCTCCCACTGAGTCCCTCCCACAACACATCAGAATCATGGGAGCTACAATTCAAGATGAGATGTGGGTGGGGACACAGGCAAACCACATCGCGTGACCAGTGGATAAGGTGGTGGCGGCTGATGTTGGCGGGTGTTACCGTGAGCCTACTGTCTGTGTTACTTCAGTTAGGCTTGAAAACAACTCACTGCATGGATGGAGAAGCTGAGGCTTAGGGGAGTGGTGAGGTGTGCTCCCCACTGGTAAGCAGCCACAGCCAGGCCCCAGTCAGTCTGATTCCCACGCAGTCTGCTTGTTGCCATCTGGTCAGGACAGCGCCTGGCCCCACCGCCCTCCCTAAGTGGGTTGAAGGCACCTGCAGGAGCCACCCGGCTGGGGACTGCATTGACCTGTGGGCCCGTCTAAGATGCGCTGTCGCCCATGGCTTCCAGTGGAGTTGAGAGAAGACTGAGTTGAGTGTTGGGGGCCCAGCTCCGGTGCACATGGCTGTGAGCCCTTGAGGAAGGCCCTCAGGAAGGTCCTGGGGCGCACGGCTACACCCAGCTCAGCCAGGGAGAGGGGGAATGTTGAGGCCTCTGTCGTCGCACACCGTGGCTGACAGCTGGCTCCGGTGTGTGAAATCACAGCAGTGACAACACCGTCTGCCCCAGGCTTCCATAGGAAAGGGAGCAGCCAGGGGTCTCGGGGGCTTCTGTAGCCTGGGGGGGATTTCAAGGTCCAGGTGGGATCCCCGGTGCATTGGAGGCACCACCTCTGAGTCTTCGTCTTTGTCTGCACCTGGCTGGCAGCCGTGCCTGGGAGACATTAGGACAGAGGTGCTGGTGAAGAGCAGAGACCAAGACCCCCAGCAGCATCACCCAGAGCCCTACATGTGCAGGCTCCGTCAGGAGGCCTGGGCCTGATGCTCCTTTGTTCATTCTCTCCTTCCTTTATTCACTCCATGAATAAGCATTCCCTGGGTCATAGAGAGTGACGTGGATCTGGGAGGCAGTGACAGCCACCGCCTGCGTGGCAATGTCAGCTCACAGAGTCATGCGCAAGCTTCTTATCTCCCGTCTCCCCCGGCCACACCCTGGGAGGCATCCCAGGGACACGTGGCAGGCTCTTCTGGGTCCATTGGTCCTTCATCAAGGCCTGTAATTAAACCCTGCCTGCGTGAGCACAGTTACTCTGTGATCCCCTGATGCTTTGCTATTTAGTCTGAAGGACTATTTTTCTTCTTAATTAAACATTTCAGAGATTCTGCAAATATTATAAGTACATATTCACTGCTAAGGGATTAGAAAGTCAAAATATTTTAAAGTGAGAAAGCAAGGAAAAGGATGGCACAAAACCAAAATGAATAATTTTTCTTCCTGTTGCAGTTTCTGGTCTTTGAATACTTTGAATACTTGGTTGGTTTAGGGACTCGTTTCCAAGATGAGGCGACGGCACATAGCGCAGGGCGTTCTGGAGGCTGCAAGCGCCAGAACAGGCCCCAGGCAGGCGCGGGACGGACACGCACGGCCCTGGGCCGGCCCTGCCCTCCGGCGAGCACAGGACTGCCTGGGAGCTGAACTGAACAGAGTTCCTCCTGCCCGGAGCTCATGCTTCGTCCCATCAGTGCCCACTTGCTTCCCAGATTCACATTTTTAGTTGTGTTTCCTGCTTGCACAGGGCCAAAGTCTGCCCTGGGTGTTGTGTGTGCAATCATTATTGTTCATTGTTTTCAAAATTAATTAAATTTGAGAAAAAAAATTAGCCTCCACAGAAGCCACAGACTTGTCTACATGTGTGAGGGAATCAGCAGAGATGTGGGTGTGGGAGCCCCTGGGAGGAGAAGGGCTCTGGGGACCAGAGGGCTCTGGGGCAGCCCTGGGCACTGCTGAGCAGCTGCATCTCATCCGGACCCAGAGCCTGCTGGGCTGTATGGGCCTTGGCTGTGGTCTGGGCCTTTATTTGGGGTCTCACCTGCTGCAGTCAGATCCTGAAGCAGGTTCGCCAGCCAGGGATCAGTCTCCATATCCGAGGTCTTCCCGTCTGTATCCTCCTCCTGCCAAGACCAGCTTTCAGGCCTGAGGGAGTCTTAGGTCTTCACTGAGTAAAGGGTTTCATCCCACGGTGTATCAAGGAGCAACGGCCTCAGCCCTTGCCCTCCACTGCTGTTCCTCTCCCCTTTCCCACCCGCACTTCCCTGTAAGCCACAGTTCTCCCAGCAGACTGAGGGCTCGGGATCACCAAACGTGGGAGGCTCCCCCAAGCCGTGTGCTGGGGCCCGACCGCCCTGCCCTGCCCTGCCCTGCCCTGCCCTGCCCTTCATCCCATCACATCCCTTCTGTGCTGATGGGTTGGGGGCTGGGGTTCCCATTGTGTGGAAAACAGAAAACGGCTCAGGCAGAGGATGGGAGCGGCAGCGGCCGGCAGGGCTGGTGTGAGGCTGGGGATTCCACTCACCCCGGTGGGGCTCAGGCTTCCAAGAGGCCACTGAGGAGCTCCTGGGACTCATCGTGGTATGGGCTCTGGCCCAGTGGGTCTGGGTGGGGCCTGAGACCCTGCCTTTCCAGCACATTCCCAGCTGATGCCAGTCAGAGTCAGAGCCTGGAATCCTTACACCAGAGGCCAGAAGCCTTGGCCTCATCATTCCAGGCCTGAGAATCCGCCCAGCTGTCGCTCACCGATGGCTGAGTGATGTTGCACAAAGCCCTGTGCCGCCCTGTCCCACTCCTGGGATCAGACCCAGAAATCTCGGTCTGTGCGTCCCAACGGGCTGGACTTGCTGCTCAGCTTCCGAAAGGTGCCTCTTCAAGCCTGTGTTTTTTGAAACAAGGCACTGAAAAGCACACTTTGTGTCAAAAGCCCAAAGGGAGTGAGAATTCTTGGTGATTTGGATTTCATCTCAGGCACCGACGAAAGAGCACGGAGTGGGGGCCTCCCTCCTCGAGTCAGGGTCAGGCAGGGGTAATGCAGTCGAACCTCTAAGACCCTGGGCACTCACAGCCCCTGCCGTTGCTTCTGTGGTGGAGGCGGCTGGGGCGGAGCGCGGTGTTCCCGGGAACGGCCCCAGCAGCACACCATGGTGGGCACGCGAGGTGGCCGGCTCCCGTAGGTCTTCTGTGTCACATACTTGTTAACTCCATTCCTACATAAAGAGCACGTCTGCTAAATTTAGCCACGAGAACTGTTTGGCATTTCGGCCTTCCCGTGCTTCAAGTGCATGCATTTCTTCCATGTTACGCCACATCCCTAAAAATAAGCCTGTGCCCTCCTCCAGCACTCAGGCCCCTGCGGTGACTCGTCCCACTGATGGCACACCTCATTCCCCAGGGCTCCCATCCTTGGCGACAAAGATCACAGCAGCTGGCACTGCGGACGCCTTTGTGGGAGGCCCCATCTGGTCATCCCGCCAACCCTCCTGCAGCCCTGCAAGGACACGCCAGCCTCCCACGGTGCCAGGAGGGGCCTGGCAGAGACCCCCAGAGCAGCCTGCCCCAAACCACCTCTGAGAGCAGCAGCGTTTCCGAAGGAAGCCTCCCCTCACGGTCCTCAGGCCCAGCAGGTGGCCAGCTGGTGCCAGCCACGAGGGCACTGGCTCATCGAGTGATGGGAAAGGAGACAGCAAGGCAGCCACAGACAGGGTGGACTCGACCACAGACACAGTACTGCAGAAGCATCCCAAGGTGGATCAGGACGGGAGGTGGACCTGTGGCTGTTGCAGGGGCCACGAGATTAACCTCAGGCCGGGGCAGAAATCTGGCCACAGGCAGAAATCATCCACCAGTCACCTGGCACAACCAGACAGGATTATGAGCACTTTTCTGCTGTTTAGTTTTAATCTGTGCCTGTGATGCTTATTACTTTCCAAATAAATGGATGAGTCTTTTCAGGGCCAAAGGAGATACGGGACCAGGGAAGGAGGTTAAGAAGGAAATGCACGGATATTCTGGTGCCCAGGGACGGCGACTGGGTCTCCAAGTTCTTTAAGTTCTAAAGGAATCCGCTAGGGAAGATTCTCCTAATGGGAGGGAGATGAAGGCGAAGGAATTAGAGGCCCACGTGGTCAGGAAGGTGGAAGGACGGAGGAGCACACCAGGATGATGTGCAGTGCAGGATGGGGACCTGCAGGAAACACCAGCACCGGGGCCACCACGGTGCACCAGGCGCTTCTGGGCGTGGAGCTGGCTGATGCCGGAGGAGGGGAGGTACGTGCCTGGCACAGGACAGACCATCCAAGGCAGCAGGGTCTGCACACCAGGCTCTGCATGAAGGAGTGTGTGGCCCCGGGCAGGGGTTGAAACTCGCCCGGCTTCGATGGATAGGAGGGCTGTCTCTGGGCTTGGGCAGCCTTGGACAGGACCCCTGGCATTCTGCTCTGGGGAAGGGTCCAGCCTCCCTGCTGCTCCCCTTAAGGGGAGGTCTGTATGTGGCTGGCAGATGTTCAGCTTGGGCACCCAGGAGCTGGCTCCTGGGCCCCACAGGTGGGTGGGGTGGGGCCGCTGGTTCCGAGAAGGTGCGCGCCCTGCTGCTTGTTGCCCGGAGCCCCCAGGGAGCCTCCAGTTTGTCCACCGCACACCACACTGGCCCCTCCAGGACACACAGCACGGGCCCCTCCAGAACTCAGCATTTATGGTCCTAAGAAACAACTGAATTGAAGAAAGTGTGGAAACCCACAATTCAGGGTTCTAGGGAGGTCTGTGAAAGACTTAAAAGAAAAACAAAGAGAGAAGGAAGAGTTTTGAAGGGATTCACCTACTGCCTGTCAGGCACCGCCTGTCATGTCAACATGATTTGGAACCCGGACGGGAGCAGGGGGCTTGTGGAGACCACGGTGGGCGGGATAGCGGCCGAGCAGGCAGAACAGCAGGGCCTTGAGTCTGGGGCTCCCGGTAACACTCTTGTTCTCCCTCTTGTTCTCTCCTCTCCCTTTTGCTCTATTTTTTGCTTTTTCAAAAATAAGAATATATTGATTTTATATTTACAAAAATCAAATTTTAAGTACTAAAAATATCACTTAAATTTATACGAGCTTTGCCTTTGAAGCCCAGACTTTGTCAGCACAATGAGGAAACTCAGTTGTCACTTTCTCTCTGCCATATCATTCTTAAAAGCTGTTTTGAAGTTAGTTGCAAGAACAGGGCCAGGTTCCCCGATTGTGAGCCCCGTCACCGGCTGTGAGCATTTGCCCGGCCCTTACACTGGGTGTGTGTAGCACACAGTCATTCGAGGGTGGGCTGCACACACACGCCTTTTCGCCCCTTAAATGTTAGGGAATCCCCTAAAAGCAGGGCTGGTCTCTTCAGTCACTTCAGTAGTGTCATCAAATTTAGGAAATGTCCATTTTCACTAACGCTGTCGTCTGATTTGCTGCCTCGGCTCCGATTTCATAGACTCCAGGCCGGGATAGCACGCCGTGTGTGGTTGTGGTGGCTCACCGGCCCCTCTCCGTCTTTGTGGCCGTGACACCCTCAGAGACCTCAGCCCTCTCATTCCACGAAGCGGCTTTGCCGGGGTCTGTCTGATGTCTCCTTGGGACTAGGTTCGGGAGATCTGCCAGGCACATGTTTTAAAGCAAAGTAGTATGAATATTTGGTAGCAAAGCAAAGGCCCTCACTTCCTAGGTCAGTTGCGTTTTTAAATCCTAATCTCTATGCATGAACTAGGTCCCAATGGGATAAAAAGCTCCAAATGTCTCTGACTGTTTCTGTACTTCAGAAATGTCATGTTTGGATTTTAAAGGAAAATCAGTTCTCCGTCTAACTTGGACACACCACAAAGGAAACACGTGGCTTAAAATAAGGTGCGTGGCATGGCACGGAGTCGCACTGATTACAGGCTGTCTGCCTCACAGCCCTGTACACACAGGATCTTCCTCTTTAAAATCTCACCACCAGAGCCAGATGCCACCCTGCAAAGAAGCTGCGAAATCACACTGCAATTATCACCGCAGGCTCACTTGGGGTAACAGCAGTGCACACTCTTCCCTGGGAAACCAGCCCGTATTCAGAGGAAGAACAGGACGCCACCCAGGGATGTCTTCGCTGCCCCCCCAGGGAGAGCGGTGCCTGTGCACGTGGCCACGCCTGGGCCTCCCCAGCTCTGGCTCCTGAGTGCCAGCCCTGGCTGACGGGTCAGGGGCTCCAAGGGCTCCTGAGTCCTGAGCTTAGCTAGTGGCTGATGTCAGCAGAAGCCATGGGTACAACTTTCCGTGGGCCTTGAGCACTCTCTGGCCTGTGTCTAAACGATGTCCCCGTCCCTCAGACAGCAAGATTGGAGGAGCGAGTTTCCACGTGCTCATCGGAGACCCCGTGGCCTCTTCCTCTGCTGAGTCTGGAAGTGAAGCCACAGGTTTCTCGTCCCAGATGGCAGAGGCGAGGCCCTGGATCCCCTGGGGTGGAGCATAGGGGAGGAGCCTCCTCTGTGGAGAATGAGACCAGGGCTGCAGTGAGAGACCATCCCCTCCTCTGCACGTCTCCTCTTGGGGCCTCTTAAATGATTTGGAAATTATTTCCCTAAAAATTGAGCCTTTTCTTGAGAGGTCAAAGCAGACTTTCCATCACATATGTGAGCCTGCTCCCCATCCTACCCTTCAGCTTCCTGCTCCCTTTCCGTCACTCAGACCTGACCACCAGCCCTGAAAGGGGGGTCACGAGGGGCACCCATCAGTACTGGGCACGGGGTGGCCGCTGTCCGGGAGACCCAGGGACGCTGTGGGGCCTCCCCTCTCCGGACCCAGGGACGCTGCGGGGTCTCCCCTCTCTGACCCAGGGATGCTGCGGGCCGTCTCCCGTGTCCAGACCCAGGGGCACTGTGGGGTTTCTCATGTCTGGACCCAGGGACGCTGTGGGGTCTCCCCTCTCCAGACCCAGGGACACTGCGGGGTCTCCCCTGTCCAGACCCAGGGACGCTGTAGGGTCTCCCACCTCCAGACCCAGGGACGCTGTGGGGTCTCCCCTCTCCAGACCCAGGGACGCTGCAGGCCGTCTCCCATGTCTGGACCCAGGGACGCTGTGGGGTCTCCCACCTCCAGACCCAGGGACACTCTGGGCACCTGCTTGTAGTGGGCGGAACAGCTCCTCATTCCCTCCCATCTTGGATCCTGAGCCCGGCACTGCTCTGCAATGACAGACTCCAGGGGAGTTTTCAGCCCAGGGAAGTGGTTGTTTTTGTGAGAAATAAGACATTTTTTTAAAAATCTCCTGAGCGAGGTGGAGAGGCTCCTCTCTTCCGGCCATGAGAGTGAGCCCCAGCCACACCCGCCAGCACCCTCGAAAGTGAGTGTGGAGCCGCGGTGCCTGCCCTGACTTCTACTAAAGGGCGCTTCTTAAAACACGGTTGGTCTGAGTTTCCCATTCCCTCAAGGATGACCTCTGAGAAGACGGACGAGACCAGCCGCCTGTGTTGACGTTTTCAGTCTCAACCTAAGGAAAAGCAAATGAGCACACAAAGCTCTCAAAGTCTACAGTGTTTTTTGAAATATAATGACGTTTACCTCTCACCTTCCTCCAGTAACTGCCAGTGTCTTGAAGAATGTTTTCTGCCCCCACCAGCCCCCGCAGGACCACATCTCTCAGCATCTCTGCTGCTTGAATGGGTCTGGCTTGTTCCGCCTGCCTTGACTCCCCCGGGTCACCCACTCTCCCCGGAGAGGCTGCACACTCACATGCGTGTGCGGGCAACAGTCACCGCCTGTGCTCCCAACGCCTTAGTCTTGAGAGCAGAAGGGAGGCAGCTCTTGCTGGCAGCCCGTGCCACTGCCCCACACCAGGCCCATGAGACACCCAGGGCTCAGGACTCCGAGACGCTGAGCCACAGCCCTTCCAAGCAGAAAGCCAGGTTGCAAACCACCTCCCTCTGGTAGACCACAGATCTCAGTGAAAACAGCAGAACCCGGGAGGTGGAGCTTGCAGTGAGCTGAGATCGCACCACTGCACTCCAGCCTGGGCGACAGAGTGAGACTCCGTCTCAAAAAAAAGAAAAGAAAAGAAAAGAAAACAGGCTCCTCCCAAAAAAATCCCAAAATTGCTCATGGAAGGAGGTGGTTTTGGTGATTTGGTTCAAGTTATTTTGATGCCGGAGGCTATGCAATTTGGAATGAGTCAAGACTCTTCAGTTTAAAACGGGAAAGGAAATGAATATTTGAAGATAAATAGCTCAAAGGGCAGTGGCAGACCAGAACCCAGAAACCCTCCTCACCCTGTCATCTTGAGGAGAAAATCCCAGAGGAGAGGGTGAATGGGGTACTCAGGTCACTGTCTCCTCCTTCTGACCTCAGATTAGAACATGGTGCTGGGTCTGTCTGGAGGGCACAGGGTAAGACCCGCTCCCGTCGCACCCGGCGCTCTTGGCTTCATGAGTGTCAGATTCGCCGAGTTCACTCTGGGCCCCAGCCGTCCATTGCCGTGTCCTTTTGCTTAAAGCGGGCTCAGCCTGCAGAGTCCACGTGGAAGGTGGGAACCCTCACGTCAGCTCTGACTCTGTCTTCACAGGAAAGTCCCGGGAGGTTCTCACCTCTGTTCTCTGAGGGACTAACCGCTGCCCAGGAGTTCAGTGGCATAATCTCGGCTCACTGCAACCTCCGCCTCCCAGGTTCAAGCGATTTTTGTGCCTCAGCCTCCCGAGTAGCTGGGACCACAGATGTGCGCCACCAGCCTGGCCAATTTTTGTATTTTTAGTACAGACTCCTGGCCTCAGATGATCCGCATGCCTCAGCCTCCCAAAGTGTTGGGATTACAGGCATGAGCCCCGCCCCCGGCCCAGGTGGCTTTTCTAACTGCTCAGGCCGGTGGAAGGAGGACAGCTGACTGGGAAGCAGCCTCCAGGGCCAGGCAGGCTCCCGGCTGCAGCTCTGAGTGTTCCAGCCTCCTCCTGTGGCACCGACCAGTGCTTGCATCCCAGGAACCATGGGAGGAGGCCAGGCAGGTCTCGTGGCCCCTCGTCCCCCCACTGCTGATGCTGATGGGGGAACGGGAGTGTGTGAGGAGTGATGTGCAGGGCGGGGCTTACCCTGGGCCCCCTGCGAGGTAGGCGTGTGCAAAGGAAGCAAGGAGGGCTGCAGTTGTGGGATTACACAACCTTTCACATCCCTTCCGTTACAAAAATTCTTGTCATCCTCATATCATGCCAAATAGCATAAATTATTGAGTGTTCACAGAGTACCTGGCACCACGCTGAACTCTGCATGGACCAGCTCATTCAGCCCCCAGCCATCCCATGGGATAAGATGCTGCATGACCACACTTTACCATAAGGGGACACGGCTCAGAAGGGGCAGCCACAGGCTCATCCGCGGGCAGGGGATTCGCAGGAGCAGTCGAGACGTCAGCCCTTATCTTCCACTTTGTGTGCAAAGCCCTTTATTCACCTCACTTGTGTTGCTCCAGTTCCGTGAACCACAATTTGATGCTTCTACGGAGCTCCTGGGGCGAAGTAGGTTCCCAAGGAATCCAGGCTTTACCGGTTTGGTAAAATGGTCACAGGAAGTGGCCCCTGTGCGTGGTCCCAGCGTGACTGTGCTGGGGTCACGCTGGCCCCTGTGCGTGGTTCCCAGCGTGGTCTGTGCTGGGGGTCACTGGGGATAGCGATTGGCGCCGCGGAGGACTGGCCCTGTCGTGGCCCAGCGTGTCTGTGCTGGGGTCTCTGGGGATAGCGATGGTCGCGGGAGGCTGGCCCCTGTGCGTGGTCCCAGCGTGTCTGTGCTGGGGTCACTGGGGATAGCGATGGTCGCCGGAGGCTGGCCCCTGTGCGTGGTCCCAGCGTGTCTGTGCTGGGGTCTCTGGGGATAGCGATGGTCGCGGGAGGCTGGCCCCTGTGCATGGTCCCAGTGTGTCTGTGCTGGGAGTCTCCTTTGATGCCTGCCTTGTTTTTGATTCGTTTCATCCACAGTAATTTTTTAAGTCCTAATTTGCTCTTCCTTTCCCTCCATGAGTAACTTCTCCCTTCCCCACAGCCATGCTTGCTAATCACAGCACCTTCTAGATGTGCAATGCCTTGCTCTCACAGAAATGCAGCCTCGTACTGTCATCCTGTATGCAGTGTACAGCCAGTGAGGTATAATTGTTAGGGTCCCATGTACTTTTTGAGACAGTGGGACAGGTTTTTGTTGTTGTTGTTGTTTTATAGGTGGAGAAACCTGAGTTATAAAGCACATAAAGACTTGTCTCAGGTTTCCGTGCTGACAAAAATCACTAATATGTATTGAACATCTAGAATGTGCCAATAACATTAGTTTTAATAATAGTTGTTATTAGGGGCTTACTGTGTTCTAAGCACCTTACATGAAATTCTAAATTCAATGCACAACACTGCCAGATAGGAACTATTCCCCTTCCACAGATGAGGAACTGAGGCCTGGAGGCACCAGGATTGTTCTCCCAGCAGCGTTTCCAGGTTGTGACCGGAGTTGCTGAATGGACTCCAGAGCTCACTGCTTTCACTCTGTGGTACAGGCCGTGCTGCTACCACTGTGTGATTCCCTCTCCAGCTCAGACAGTGGCTTCTCCAAGAAATCCTACGCAGGTCAGGACATAGTCCAACTTGGGAGACACTGT